GTAGCAGCCAGAATGGACACTTGAAACCAGGACTACAGTTCCTAGGGACTGATAAGATATGGGAGATGAAGAAAGAGAGAGAAATCAAAGACTATTCCAATGTTTTGGTCATCAGGGACCACAAGAATGGTTATCTCATTGAATAAGTAGAAATGTTATAAAAAGAAGTCAGTTTGTGAACAAACATCAGTTTTGGATATGTTGAGTTTAGAGGTATGAGCTAAGAGCAGAGATGTGAGAAGTTCAAAATTCCACACCAAAGCACAGACCTAAAGCCCAGACTTAAGATATAAATGGAGCTATAACTTAGAGATTAACAGTTGATTGAAAAGAACTGGCCGAGGCCTACTTCTGTGAGGAAATACTGCCCACAAACGTGACAGAAGAGAAGCCATGCAAGACAGAAAAAAGTGATTCAATAGCAAGATTAGAATCCCAGTTTTTCTAAGACTTGATGAGCTTGAGAAAGTAACTTAAACTCTACTTCTTCAGTTGACAAATAAGACACCTACCAATATAATATTGTTGACAAGATTGAGATAAAGTTATAAAGTATGCAAATAACATTTAGCAACCTAAAAACCAGAGAAGGAAAACAAGAAAAAGTGCTGTCATAAAATGCAGGGATTGTTTTTCAAGGTAAAATCAGAGAATGGAACTGATCAAAGGAATATTTTAGCAAATGCCAGTATCTGAAAGGTAAGAAAGTACAGTGCGTAACACACAAAAACTATACTGACCCACTCACTGCCGCAATTATCTCATCAGAAGAATTCAAGAATGCCTTTGCGCTTGCTATTCTCTCCACCTGGAATGCCATTCCCCCTCTGGATTGTGCTAAAATATCACCTCATCAAAGACACACTGATCCTAGTTGAACTACTATTCTTATTATTCTCTACCCTTTTATCCTGCTTCATTTTTATTTAGTATACTTACTACTAACAATATTACATATTTGCTTGCTATTAGTTTCAATCATAGGAAAAGGAACTTTGTTTTCTGAGAAATCCCCAAAATCTGGCCATAGTAGGCACTCAACAAATATAAATTAAAATCTCAAACTGCCTCATCATAAACAGTAAATGCATTTGGATTTGGTAGAGCACTACAGAAATGCAATTGAAAATGTATTTCCTTCTCTGGATCATCTTGAAAAAACGTGCCTGATCTTAAGAAAGAAGTTCAAGGTTTTCATAAGTACTCCTAGTGTAAATCCATAACAGCCATAGCTGAGTAAATTTACAGTCATTTTCAGAAAAGCACATTTACTTAATATTTATTGAATGCCTACCACGTGCATCAGAAACAAAAGGTTTGGGGCATTTTGCGGGGAGTAGGTAGAGTGATTTCCCAGTATCAGAAATTTTTCAAACTACTACATAAATGCTACCTATTTCCAGAATTCACTTCTCAAGTTTCCAAATGCACCTCAAAGTTGTCCCTATATGCAACAGCTCCTTCAACACACATTGATCCACGTCTTCTTCACCATTAACTTGCGTGTGTGCCGTTATTACTCCTCAATATTTTAAACATCTTTATCACTGGGGAGATTCGCCTGTGATATGAGAGATGTCCTATGTACATTTAATTAAACAAAAATAAGAATACACACCAATGCACTATAACAGACAAACAAATGAATACTGGGGTAACCCGTAGCAAGGTTCCAAATTCATAGCAATTGAATCTTAGAAAGAACATTAAAGATCATCTGGTTCAGTGGACTGCAAATGTCAGGCTTCACTGAACTTTTTACTGCTCATTTTTACAAAATGAGGACAATGTAATAAGTTTTCATAAAGCTAAATTTTTTAAATTAAAAAAATTTAGTCAGATTACATCCTTCCTTATATTTGAAGGATGTTAAAATGTTTTTTTCTGTCATAAAAAGATGGTGATAGGTGATCATTGTTGTTTCATAGATAATTATTTTACTTGGCAAAACAAAAAACTCAGCAATTCTCTGCTAGACTTCAATTTTTTTTTTTAATTTTACAGGTCAGAGAAATTAAAAAATGTGAGAACCTGTGCTCTAATCCAACCAATCTTCTGCTGCCTAAATGCCTTAAAACATGGTCAACAAGTTGTTTGGCTGCCTATGCATGAACACCTCTGATGACAAATCTCTAGCGATGTGGAATCATCAACTGAAAAAAGGGTATGGTTATATCTGAGGTATGTTTGCTTTGTTTTGTTAAAGAAAAGCAAAAAAATCAAGGCTTATAGAGAGTAAGCCAAGTTGTAAAAATGGAGCCAGTAAAGAAAACAAGTGCTAAGAAAACTGATCAGTAAGAGAAGATCGAAGGGATGCACTCAGGCCTATACCTCACAGTCTTCCTTCAACTTACTGTGAAAATCTTTACAGAAATAACCATAAAAGCCAGACTGTAAAATACATTCCTGAAGTCAGGGCTGGTCAATTTACATTTCCTTTTGCACATCTCAGTTTACCATCTGAAATTCCTTTACTAAACTACATCTAAACTGCATCTCTCAATTTACTACCTGAAATTCCTTTACTAATCTACATCTAATTTTTCAATTACACATCTTTAAGATTTGAGCAGAAGCAAATGTAACACAGTCTCAGTATCACCCAAACCCCGAAATGCAACCGAATCTAAATGCCCCATAGACTCAAGGTTGCAAAGTACAATAAGCAGAAATATATAGTCCAATGACACTTTTTAATTATATCAGAATTAAAAAGGATGAGAAGAAGTTGGAGGCAAGAAACAGAAAAAGCACAAGAGATCAAAAGCTAATTCCAAGGAGTCCATCCTGAAGGAAACAGGAAGGTGGGTACAGATGCCTCATATCCCTCCAAGACAATGTGCCAACAGGCCAATGGAGTACGAGGTGGGATCTGAGAGCAATGTAAATCTTGTTGTTAAAAGGGAAGCATAAGCAAAAGCACCACGCACAGTGCCAGGCAGAGACAGGCATTCAAATATTTGCAGATTGAATGAATTAATAAACAGACACTTAACCCAAAGATAATCTGGGGCCCTGCTTCCAACCACACCATCTAAGGTACTTTAAGTCCAGGTCAAACACCTTTCTTTGCCTTAAAGCTCAGGCTAAAAAATCTAACTTTATGAAAAGCTGAGTCTTCCTAATAGTTTCCACTGGCCTCTGTCCTAGCCCATCTCTGGCAGTGAGGCCCAGTAAAGTTCCTTCTTAAAGACACTGCCTGCATGTCTCAAATCTAGCACACGTGATCCATGGTGGAGGGATGTTAACAGGAGTGGAGGCAAACAGGCCAAGGGGTGGCAAGGAAAAAAACGAATTCTGATCCACAGAAAGGCAAATAATGAGTTTTAGAATTAGGATTAATCCCGGAGAGAACCAAATGAAAATAAAAACCCTTTTGTATTCATAATTAAATAGAACCAATGGAAAAGTCTCACCAACTTTAGCTACCCACGATTGAAAGGAGTTTTAACAATTCTCTCATCCATGCTGGCATTCCAGGTTTTCCATTATATCTCAGCCTCTCATTGTTCCAGCACTACTGATGGAATCTCAATACCAAAAAAATGGTGCTGGTCATCAAAATCACGATTAGCTGATCTACCCTAGAGTCAGTTTATCAGTGTTTGCATGCATACATCAATTTCATTTCTTATTATTTCAATTTAAATAATCTGTGTCTCTATCCCCTTCCACCAGAGCCTGCCTGCTTTTCCACATCTTTCTTTTCACCTGCATTCTAAGATTCTCTTGTTCTTTCCTTTAGTTCTCTCTGTTCCAAAAGTAAAAAGGAACTGCAAGAACTGATACATAGAAGGCAGATTTACTACAGATAACATATCTACATGTTACATATTATATACCATGTGTTGTCTAAATACAGCTAGCATATCCTGCTTCAAGTGCTACTGAGCCTGGGCAGACCCCCATGTGTTCATTCTGCTGATGTTAACCATCCACCATCATAGTTCCTAGGGGTTCAAGTGCCTTCCTCCAGCCTGCTGAAGAACACGACTAGATCTCAGAGCCCTCAAAGTCTATCGAGAGGAGGCTAAGCCCTTGCTTCTGTCAGACCAAGAGGGCCAATCCAGGAGTCTTTATCATCTACCACTACATTTCCAGGACCTGTTCCACTCAAGCTAAACATTCTGAAACACCCCTTTGGAAATTGTCGTTCCAGAATCCCATTAGCTCTCCCAAAAGGGCTGAATATCAAAAAATTATTCAACCCAAGCCAAATATTCTTATTTTGGCTGGAATTCTGCCAAATAACCACAAGAGGCTGGTGCGGTACAATTGCCATGGAGTTGAAGCTTGCCATATCTAACCGGAGAACGACAAGCCTCCATGAATAAGCTCTCATGAAAAGGTACACCATTCTTCAGGATTAGATTTGTCTCTGGTTTAAAAAGTCAGATTCAAAGGACTCTTACTCCTTCCTAAGAGAAGAGGGAATCAAAATTGAAATTTTCAAAACTCCTGGGTATTTACAGTCCACTTTTACCAAGATGTTTTTAAAACTAAAAACTAAAATTAAAAAAAAAAAAACCTTGTTCTGAATAATGCAATAACGTCTTCTACATGTTTCAGCTATTATTTTCAGAAAATAATTCTGTTGCCAGTGATCTTGAATGTACCAGGGTACCAAAGAAAAAAGACACCTGTGCCTGGCAGGTCGATACGCTACTAATTTGCCCGAGGTACTAAGGAAAACAGAAGATGCTCTGATTTCTGGATAAAACGTTCTGCGTGCCAGGTAAAAGAGGTCACATGCCCTGAAAGGCCGCTGCTCATTTTAGAGTGATGTAAAAGCTCCTCAGATATTAATTTTGTTAGAAATTCGGGGAATCAAGCAACCTAAGATCAATTCATTTAGACAGCGGGCGACTGGTACTTTCCAGTTTCCTTTTTACAACGGACTCCGTGCATCCTAGCTTGATCCCCTAGAAAGGGGTGGGCAAGCTGGGCACCAGCTGCCCATGCATTTCAGGGAGGTGCACACAGGACCGGCAGGGTCCCCCATGCACAGCCCCACTCCGAATCTTCTATCCGCCTGGCATGGGGAAGACCCTTCCCTAGAAATCCTGGGCAGCGTTTTAAGTCACCGCCTGGCGAAGCTGAGTTTCCGTCCGCGTCCGCTGAGGACTGCGGGCACCGCGCCTCGTCACGCCCCGCATCTCCCACCTCCCGCCGGCCCCGGCGGCTCCGGGCGGCCGTACCCCAAGCTGCGCCCGCGGCCGGCGACACGCGCCGCAGCGGCGCGCTTATCCGCAGCGGCACAGCCCGCCCGCCCGCCCGCCAGCTCACTCACGCGGGAGGCAGCGGCGGCGTCTCCATTGTGGCTCCTCTCGGGCTTCAGAACGCAGGCACCGACCGCCGCCGCCAGCACCATTCCAGCCGCGGACACCGGCACTGCCCGCCCGCCAAGCTGCGTTCCATCCGCCCCGGAGGGGGCGCCGCGCTCGCCTCACCGCGCGCCACCACCTGCGGCGGCGGCCCCCGCGGCCATGGCCCGCTCGGCCGGGCGCGCTCCGTCTACTGCGCGGCTCCCGCGCTCGCCCGACTGCGGGGCGGCGGGGGCGGCGGCGGCGGCGGCGGCGGCGGCGGCGGGACGGCCGGGCGCGCGGGCTCGGCCACTTCCGGGTTCGGCCCCGGCCGGCGCTGACGCCGTGACGGGACGGCTATGCGGCCTCCCGCGGCGGCCGAAGACCCCTCCCTCGGCGCCTCCCCTTCCTCCTGCTGCTGCTGCCGCTGCCGCTGCTGTATTTGGAGGCGGGCGGGCGCCAGCCGGGAGCTGGGCGGGCGTGCCCAGACGCGGGCCCGCAGGCCGGGACGCGGGCGGCGGCCGCCCACAGAGGGTCTGTGGATCACCGGGACGGGGGCGCTGGAAAATGGAAGCGGAGAGGGTTCTCCGTGCGGAAAAAGGGCGGCCGAGCGCACGGCGTAATAACGCTCGGTATCCACTTACTGCTCTGCTTCGCGGGCGTCTGTACACGTTATTCTTTTTATTTGAGCCTATACCCAGGGAGATGGGAAGGGTAGGCATAACCAACCAGTGCCCTTACAGATGGTGGAACTGAGGCGAGAAGAAATGATTTGCCTGTCCAGTGTCCCAAGCAAGAAGCTGGCTCTCCCTCCAGTATGCTATCCATTCCTTGGACAAGTGAAGTGAGCACCTGCTAGGCAAGGTTTTAGTGCTGGGGATGCGACAGCAAAACCAAGACTGTTTGTGGAGCTGTCCATCTAGACGGGGTGACTGAAACAAGCGATGCTTGCCAACAAGGAACATGAGAATGAGGAGAGGGGAAGAGATTTTAGAAGGAGTGGTCAGTGAAGGCCTCTCAAAAGGTGTGAGTTAAACAGAGATGGAATAACGTGGGCTTTGAGTAATGCAAATAAATGCCCAGGGCGGAGGGAAGAGCAGTGTGGAGACTGCTAAGCAAGATCCTGCCTGTCTTGTTGAGGAACGGGAGGGAGAACAATGCAGCTGGTGGTTCTCCAAGTATGCCCGCTGGAAGCAGTAGCACCTGCGAACTTGTTAGAGCTATGAATTCTCCAGTTCCACTTTAGACCTACTGAACCAGAAACTCTGGGGGTGGAGCCCGGCAGCCTGTGCTTTAACAAGCTCTCCAGATGATGCTGGCTGGGGCCGCAAGGGTGGGAGACCCTCTAATGAAGCAGAGTGAAGTCAAGAAGACAGCGGCAGGAATAATGGGTGTGGCGGGGAATAATCACAAATCACCTAGGCCCTGTAGGCCATGATAAAGGACTTGGCTTTTACTGAATGAGAAGCAATTAGGAAGTGGTGAGTAGCTTGATCTGATCACTAAAAGGATGACTTTTCTGGGATTTGTTTGAAAATATCCCAGAAAAAGTAGAAGTGAAAAGAGAGAAGTGAATAGATGAAGATTTGTAAAATGTTAATTCTTGATGGGGGGTGATCATTATTTATGTGTGTTTATGTATATGTTTTAAAAGTTCATAATAGGCCGGGCGCGGTGGCTCTCGCCTGTAATCCCAGCACTTTTTGGAAGGCAGACGTGGGCAGATCACCTGGGGTCAGGAGTTCAAGACCAGCCTGGCCAACATGGCGAAATCCTGTCGCTACTAAAAATACAAAATTTAGCCCTGCGTGGTGGTGGGCGCCTGTAATCCCAGCTACTCAGGAGGCTGAGGCAGGAGAATCGCTTGAACCCAGGAGGCGGAGGCTGCAATGAGCTGAAATCACGCCACTGCACTGCAGCCTGGGTGACAGAACAAGACTCCACCTGAAAATAAAAGTTCATAATACAAAGTTTTTTTGTTTTTTTTTAAAGGTGACTGCTGTATGGGCAACATGAGTAGAGGGGCAAGAGAGCAAGGAAGAAGATTAGCTTAGCTGGGATGAAAAGTAAGGATGGCCTGGATTAGAGTCCGAATGATTGAGAGACATGGTCAGGTTCTGAATCTGTTTAGAAGGTAAAGAACACAGGAACAGCTGATCAATTAGGGTATAAAAGAAAGATGGTCCTAAGGGTTTTGTTCAGAGTTCTGGGGAGAATGGAGTAGCCCTTTACGGGAATTGAGGAGATAGAGAAGAAACAAATTTGGGGGTGTGGGGTGAAGATTATATTTGTAAACTCTGATTTAGATATGGTAAGTTTGAGATGTCTATTAAACATTCATGTGAAGATAGGTGTAGACCATTAGATATATGTATCTGGGGTAGATATAAATTTGGAAGTTGTTAGCATACAGATGGTATTGAAATCAACTAGATTATGTAGCTACAGAAAAGAAGTAGAACAAGAAGTAAGTCCTGGGGCACTCCAACATTAAAAAAGAAGAGGAGGAGGACTCAGCAAGGGAGATGGTAAAGGAACAGCCAGGGAAATAGAAAGAGATCCAAGGAAAGTGTCTTGGTAGCCTAGTGAAAGTTTCCAGGAAAAAAATTTTAAAACCTTAGTATGCTTTAGCGTGAGCTAACTTCTCTGTGTGATGGTTCTGTTCAGAGCCATAATAAAACTTTCTACTTTACAAGGTTGTTTAAAGAATTAAATGAAATAATTTACATAAAGTATATAGCACATAAATGTATAATGGAAGCACTTAGTAAATGTTAGTTGCTATTATTATTTCTGAAATTTCTGTGGCCATCAGTCATACCTGACTCAGCTAGGAACTGGGTTAGGTCCTAGAGCGGAGATACTAACTTAGGTTTTAACCTTTGACCTGACTTCCTTCTGCATGCAAGCTCCATGAGTAGGGCTGACTCATCAGCCATTTCAGGAACTCTTTTGAGGCAAGGGGTGGGGGGGTTGGAGGTGGACTTTTCTATTGCTTTTGTATCTTCCCACCCAAAATATGTGTACAAATAAATACTAAAAAATTAAGATGTGTTCATCTGACAACTCGGCACATATCTTCAAACCATAGCCCCTGTCACATCCTCCTCTGGGTTGGTTTTGTCTATCATAACTCTCTGCTTAAGGGGTCCGACTCATCTAGCATGCTAAATGTCAACCCAAACCTTTCTTTTTTCACAACCACCCCCATTTTGTAGGCTTCACAAGTAGACTGAGAAAGTACATTACCCACATACAGTTCAGCCTTACTTGGAGTTAAATGTCACATCACAAGCTCTAGTCTCCCAGTGTGGTCACATCAAGTAGATATGAAGACAGTCCACAATCTTAATCCATGTCTGTGCTCCAGACCCCATTCCCTGCAGAGAAGAGGTAGAGCAGAACTCAGACCCTGAAATCTAGATCAGGCTAAGATTTAATCCATTATCTCCACTAAAGGTCTTGAAGCAATTTGAAAATATTAATCCACATTGAGTCTTCGTTGTTTTCTGAAAAGCCAGTGACAGAACTCTTGGCTTTCAGACATAAGCAGACCTGCCTAAGATCAGCAGCAATTTACAAGGCCAACGTTTCCATTTTCATCTTTATGTGGCCAAGTAACCTCAGCCAGTTATAGCTTCCACCTTTAACCTTGTCTCCCCACTCACAAGAGAAAGTAAACAAAAATGCTTGACAGGCTGAGCCCAAATCCAACGCTACAGTGGGGAAGAAACTTTTTAATGCTTCCTCCTTTGACTCTCAGTTTCACTATCTTCTCAAGTAAAGGACACTAAGGATTAGGAGCAGCTCTCCAAGGCCACCAAACTCTTCTCTTTTTCATTTCCCTTGACGTAAGGACTGACTGAACATGCAATGGTGTTGACCTCCCCTTGCTTAGGTTATTACCTCCACCCACCTTTTCATCATTCTTTAGCTGAGCCCTTTACACCCTTGGCAGAGGGATGAGATCTTACAAAAGTCCATCTGTCTGCTATACTGTTGAGATAGAACAATTCCTTAACCATATTAGTAATCCTAATCTAAAGCTAATGTAAGTAATAGAAATGTATTACTTGTAAAGAAAATGGAAACATGCAGATGAACAAGTCCGTGACAGTACCTGGTGGCAAAAATCTCTTAGATTGAGCTGAAATCAGATGTTGCAATAGAACTAATGACATGACATGGCAGGCACAAACACATCTCATGGCAAGAATCTGGGAGCTGAGAATTGCTCCTGTAAAGAAAAGACTTGACTTCACTGAAGAATATAAAACTGTTAGATGCTATATTTGTAATTGCTTCCAGTGCAAAGATGGCAAGTATGAAAAGACTCACTCATTCAAAATTAGGTACTAAAGAAGATAAAGGCCCTCTAAAAAGTCTCATTTTCTATCCTAAAGACTTAGTTTAAGTTGCTTTACTAATTTTAAATTAGGGGTTTTGCTTTTAATATTTTGATTTAGAAGAAACTTATGCATAATATGAAGCATTTCAAAATGTTCTTGTGATACTTTGCTGTTTAGCAAGTGGATTTGTCAATACATTAAGATATCTATTACAAGCTTTGTGGTGTCAAATGGGGTGATATGAGTCTTGTGCTCCAGATCAATAGAAAGTCTTTAATTGATGGAGTCCTTTGTTTCCGTGAATCCAATTTACTCTTTAAATGCTTGCCTCCCTGTTTTTGTAGTTTTTAATATACCAATTTTACTTCCAACACAGCACACCTCCCCATTATCCTATCTGAGCTTCCTGGAGAAATGAATGCAAATTGTTTGCTGCAAAGTTTAATTGAAAATCTGTTGGAACTGGTACAGGAAGTATCCAAAAATAGATTTCACACTAATGTATATCAGGTAAGCAGTTTCTCTGTGCTTTTTTAAGAAAAGGAAATTTACTTAATCTATTTTTACTTGTATATAGCTTTATGGTATCTATTTATGTAGTCTGGTGATGTAATACCTCATTATAGAATTATCTAGGACTGAACATCTTTCTACACAGTCAGCAATGCTGGGGGGAAGAAAAAGCATGTAAAAATTCTTGATAAATTATGCAAAGCATTATTATTAGCTTGTTGTCATTCTATCTCAAATTATGCATCGGCACATAAACAAAAACTTCTCCCTACAGCTTCTGCCTGTCCGTTACAGCTGACTGTTAATAGCACAGACCCTAAACAAAACTGTGAAATAAGTTTATTTTGGCATTCTCATTTTTCCCATTTTGTTCTCTTTTTTCATGTTAGCATCAATACTTCTCTCACCTTTCACATCACCTACAGATCTCCAGTGTCCTCTCTCCATCCCTAATCAAACTTAGCAATGATCAGACATCAGCCAATGGAATGATTAGTGAACTACACTTTAAAACAAATGGCTTTTAGACATGGGGTAACCCCATACTTGTATTATTTGAGCTAAATAATATCTTTATACCCTACTCCTATTCTCCATCCTAGAATGCGTTCCAATGTCATCTGTATTATTTTAATCACAAAATTATTTACAAGTTGTGATGTTTAAATATGT